ATGCTGTGTTATTTTCACGCACGGCAAGCCATCCGGAAGCACGTATGTTTCATTGCTTTGGTGTAACTTTTGCAGACAATTTCCAACCGCAGTCGGCACATATTCCACCGCATAGCTCGCTCTGATAATGCAGCTGAGTAAGTGACTGTGCACCAAACACTAATCGCATAGATTTCGCCACGGTTTGCAAATCTTGAGGGGAACAGGTCCCATTTTTGTCCCTTATTTGACTGCCCACTGGCACCACCTCACTCGAAAGTGGGCCATTCATGCACAACGTGGGTTGGTACATTTGGGAATGTGATGCACGCCAAATCTGCTATACAAGCAGACAGATCGCTTCAAGGTGAGAAGCCCGTTGTTGGTAACAGTCAGTCTGCGGTACAAATCCCCAAATGTTATCAGACAGTCAACACCTCGGCCGGAACCTGCACTTGTATATTTTACCAATCAATGTGGCTATCTCGTGTACACCTATTTTCAGTATTCAGAGGCCACCCGTTCCCGTGCAGTAAATTGGTTGATCAAACATGCAGTGTCTAGGTCAATTTTCAATCCATCAGCGGTGGCTTGCCGAATATAACCTACCGGAGGGAAGCGTTTGTTTATTTCTAATTCCAAAGCCAGAGCTGTAACCAATAGAGCATTTGCACAGGAAGCTTGATCGGTTGGTTGGCAAACTGTGCTGGAACCTGGCTTGCCGAATATAACCTACCGGAGGGAAGAGTACGTTTATTTCTAATTCCAAAGCCAGAGCTGTAACCAATAGAGCATTTGCACAGGAAGCTTGATCGGTTGGTTGGCAAACTGAAGCTGCTGGAACCGCGTAAGCCTGCTGGGTGCATGAAGCGTCTGATTGTCCAAAGCCAGCTGATGTTGCGTCAAACTGCAATTAGTGCACAGGAAAATCAGACTCTGGTGTTAGATGGCAACCGCAATGTGCTCGACTTCTATATCACCGTTACTGCTGCGGCAATGAGCCCTGCCCGCTGTGTAAAGAAAATCTTCAAGCGCGTCCGCCAAGTGAGTGCACATGTATAAATTATACTATTCCCATTAGTTACCGATCAGTCTACCTACCGTTCAGCTAAAAGAGCTTGCTTTGATGTTGATCTTGATCGGTCCATGGAGGACAAGCCGAGTGTGCCCCGTAAGACAGTCGCAATCAAACTGTTTTGTCCAATTTCGGAGTTGATGGAGACCGGTAATTTGAGGCCTAATTTTTTAGCATACGCTTTGCAGACCTCGCTTTCGAATCCCGTGATGACGAGGAATTCGTGTGATTGTAACTCGAAGGCCCCAAATGCCGATTCAATGAACCCATGGCAATCCGCAACGACTATACATTTATCCCTCATCACGGTAATGGGAATTATGAACCACTAGGTAAGCAAACAAATAAAATTCAATTACATCCAGATGCTTAAATACACATCCCGAAGGTTAATTGCTTGCCCATTTTCCGTTTCAGAATCCTTGTCCCGTCAAGTGGATCTTAAGAAATTGAAAAATGGAGCGACTACAAATTAAGCTTGTATCAGTGATGCCAATGAATAAAAGGCAATTCGCCAATGGTGTTTTCGTAAATTCATGGCGGGAGCATTGTCGACGCGTGGAGTTATGAGTATGGAGCGCTGTCGTTGGCCATTTTATTACGTTGCCGTGCATAGGTGAGGCCCCATAATCTGCGTCGCGAATAGCAGTTACGCTAAGTAGCCGAGGTGAGCGACAGCTCATTGTTTCGGGTAATGGAGGGAATGGTCGAGGGGGTACGATCGAGGGCAGAAGTTGGGAGCGCGCCATCAAAATGGGTGGGGAATGCAGTTTGACAGGCCATGACCACCACTGATCGTTGGGTTAGTCTATTATGTGTTGCCGGGTCATTATGGTTAGCTACGAGCATGTGTGCGGGCCTGGCAGTAACTACAGGCGGTCACGAAGGTTACCTCGACTACAGATGCGATGTTTACTGGGGGTAGCAAACATAAACGGCATCGAGTAAGTATGAATTTGACGATAACTAGCCAAGTTATGTTAATTCGAGTACAGTTGTGAGTATAAGAGGCTGTCACCCATAGTTGAGTCCTTGTTTTTACTGGTCGGTATATATATTGGATTGATGTTTACTGTAGGTGGCGAAGATAAGCGGCCTTGCATATAGTATGAAAGACCCTCAGCTTTATACTAAGCGTTGCACATAGACTCAGGTGTTGCAATTACGATAAGCAACCAAGGCAGGCGATATCAACTGCAGCTACGAGTATGACGGGCAGCCGTTGGTCGTTAAAATGTCACGCATAGTTAGAACCTGGTGTCTATCGGCCAGCATGGATACTGGCCTTATGCGTACTGTAGGTAGCAGGCAGGTGCGACAGTGGAGATCGGTGTTTAACACTGATTTCATGCTCTCCATGATGATATAAGTAGTAGACATTAGCGAGAGCGCGCACATTTATGGGTATGACGGGTCATCTTTGGCAATTAAATCAGGACAATTCGCATAGCCGAGGCCTACTAAACAGCGTCGCATATAGGCACTGGCCTAGCAGTTTCAATAAGTAGTCAAGGTAGGCAATATCGCGTACTGCCACTGCAAGTTTGTGCTGTTATCTAACTTTATTGCAATTAACGGAACATGAGATCCAGGGGGAAAATGTGTTGTGAGCAGGTTTACCTAACAAGAATATCCCATATGTTGAATCTGAGGTGCCTAAAGCAAACAAACGCCTGCGACTGATCCTATAGGGTGGCCTTTGCCTTAAATACTCTTAAGATGTTATTTTATTCTTCAGGAACACCGAAGAACGCCAAAATATGCTAAAGTGCGCTTTCGTGTCTTATGTTGCGTAAACCGGCAAAAATGCAAATCGGCGACGGTGAATGATCTTGACATTTCGCACACTTAAACAAAATGCTACATGCAACATGTCACGGGAAGGTGCAAATTGATTAGATTAACTTCCCAATAAAAGAACAACTTCGAAAACCCTATAGTTTCGGCGAGCCCAATTTGGGTGTGTCAATAGCCTGCGTCACCGAAGCACCTCTTCACTGACTTCCGTCTTCCTGAAAATCACCCGCGAAAAAATGGCGTAGAGCATACATAGTGTCAGTTTCCCTATACGTGATAAGTTTCATGTGGATTTATTGAAGGATACCAAAGTTACGCGTTCAACTGTAGTGGATTTGTTCAGAGTACCTGCAGGTTCTGCGCAAATTTTCGGAGAACGCTGCACATTCTCCCGAATACTCCCGCATATCTGAGAGTGCAGAACATTCACATAGATGCTTAACAACGCCCATATTGCATGATGCGTTAGATTTTCTTGTTGTTTTGCAATGGAAGTGAGATGCGACTGGCAAGCTACGCCGTGGTGCGGCGGCTGTGGTTATACGATACAATAAATGAGGGAATAAATTTCACGAAGATCACTTCGAAGGATTACACTTATGAACATTTCATTTGGGTACCAACGCTTCAACTATACCATCAAAAAACATTTGCTGTCGCCTTCGGCCATTTTATCAAGTTAAAACTGTAAATAACCATAAAACGTCAAACGTTGATTTAATTGAGCCAGAATATCGATCTGTTTTTCCCCTATCATGAAACTTAACTGAAACTTTCATTATTTATTGGAAATTCTAATGACGCTTAAATGGTTGACAGTCCAACAGGCAAGCGATGTGCCCGAAACTAGTCTTTTCCTGTGTTTTTTGTTGCAGCACCCTGAGCTTGGACGAAATTTCTGCGGGTTGCACCACAGCAAGCTGAAATGTATCTGTTTCTTTGACTGAAATAATTCCACCTTAACTAATAGATTGTATGAGATGTGGTGCAGTAATAAAGAGGGTTGTTTGAAGCTGGAGAGATCTGTTTGAGCTAAGTAAGCATAGATAATACACCATGATATAACCCTAAACATCTAGGACAGCATTCGACTGTAGTTTGTCATCCAACAGCAGAACCTGACAATTATACTCTGAAGAGCTATAGAACGACTGAATGAATGCCGTAAGACTTATGCCAATATGGCTTTGCTCACCAGTCATTTGTCGGAGTTTCGTAACGTAGACGCTCCCATTACCAAACACTTAGTTATTGATTATTAGCAGCATTACTGCTTTTCAGTAGGAAAATCAGTACACGAACAAGTTTCCTCTTTTGTCACTAGGTTTGCTCCTAACTGGAAAAAGGTCCGTCTTGTGTTTTTAACCAAACGAGTGCCATACCGGTGAGCCTCCTGAGGCAGAAGTGCAAAGTTAAGTTTTTCGACTCCATCGGCTGATTGCGGAAAAGCGGTGGTGCAGTAAAATGCATTTCCGGTTTATCGTCAAGTGACTAGTGTCTGAACTCTTGCCATCTTTCTAGGTTCGCTTTACTCTTCAAGAACATTGGGACAAATATTCTTTGTGTGCAACGTTCAATAGGTAAACCCTCCGATATGGTACTTGGAAGCATACTTTAAAGGGCAGCCGATCATTTACGTCTACTCACCGGTGGATATCACCAAAATCAGTTGCATATTTCAGCCTGGACTCTGAAAATTAAACTCTGCCGTCCATGCGGAAAATGTCGCCATCTGGACACTTGTTACCTAAGCCGCGTTTTTGAACCTGCTTACTCCTTCAGCCGCATAACGCAAATGGTGGTGGATATTGCCCCATCTGTATTTGTGTACTAAAAAGTGGTACGCTCACCATTCACCGCACTGACAGTGCTCGTTCATATACGTTTTCCTTTTGTAACTATTTATTTGATTTTAGCTTCCGGTTAATTGCAGCTTGAAAAGAGCTTCGCGTGTACATACCTGCGTAGCTCTTATTTTACTAGGCACCGGGAAATCTCAACGCTAAAAATTATGCCCAATTAGCTTAAGTTTTGCGTTATAACCGACGAAATCGCTCAGAGTGATAGAAGAGTAACTAAGCGTCAGAACTCGGCCCACGACCTCACCAGAGAACAGCGAACATTGATTGCCTCTTTAGATGAGAGGACACAGATACAACAGCATAAGCTACCAATAAATTGGTGGCATATTTAACTATTCAGTGATAGGGCATTTAAATTAGCCCAAAATCAATAGTAACTTCTCCATATGAGTTGATTGCTAGCCCGTCTTTTTCAAAACAGGCGCATTTTTATACATCGCAGCCGATTTATACGATTTGGAAACTACAACGGTCACAAAGGGGAGAATTTATCATTGGATGGTTTATTCAGTGCGCGAGTGTTTGGCATGGTTTCTGTGATTAAAAGGTGGTTTTACCATGTCCTGTGCGAGTCAACCACAAAGCTGATCACCCGTTGGTACTGATGGCTAATTGCCTGGATTTGGAATGCCTTGGAATTTTGCGAGATGAGCGATGCCCATGATGCCCAGTGGGGGTGAAACAGACACACACGGCCATTTAGCATAGAGTCACGTCAAATAAGAACTACATCCCAATGGAGGAACAAAATATGTTCTTGCAATGAGTATGCTCGGATATCAAACAACGATAACAGGCTTATGCGTTGTTAAAATTTTTCACGCCTGCAATAAATGAGGCGCTTTATAGGTTGTGTGGGTGGCATTATGGTGCCAATTAAAATGTATTCAGTCGATGCCAGGTAGTGCTCTCAGGCTTTTTTCCAGCGGCCCTTGTTGACAGATACCTACCAAAAATACTTGATCCAAACCCCTTACCGGTCAGCGGTGAATTAGCAAACAAATTGTTGGAAGGCTTACGGCAACGTGGAACATGTAAACAACCAGCCGTCGTGCATCGAAATGGCACCGAGAACCCCCTTTTTCAGCCAAACGTCTTCAAAACACTAGTGCATACGCACATGTGTTGTCATAGATCCTCTTGACTCAAACTTGATCCGCAATTTCACTGGGACATTCCAGAATAATCACATATCTCGATCACCGAGGAAAGCGGCTTTCCTTCAGATGTCATTTTGCAACCGATGCAAAGTTTCCTGATTCAAAGGTACTTGTCCCATTAAAGCCTTTTTGGAGAAACACTCCTTCGTCAAAACGCACTGCAAATCTTTGTTCGAAAGTCAGAGTGTCCTATGTGATTGTTGGAACCAAACAACGAGGACAAATAAACGCCCTGAATGAAGAGTTTCGTTACGGATGTTAACGTTACAATGCGGTGAACTTCCTTTGATAACTTGGACAATATCTGGGAAAGTTACACACAATCTCGTAGTTAAAAACGGATGTGACCATTTGCATCTTAGCTCACACCTCTTGCCCGACGAGAGAGGAGTTGCATGGCTTCTTAAGGACATAGGAAACGCTTCTGAACTTCCTGGATGTTTATGCACCCAAATCGACATTGTCATTATAGTGGTTCCCTGGCAAAAGCTAGGTATAACGAGTTAAAT